TGACATGTTTCTTTCTTCATTTATATCTACAATAAGTGAATAGGTATATTATTAGAGAAAGACTTCTTCTTTTTTAAAATATGCAAAAAAAAAGAAAAGTAACTGAGTTTGTTCGTAAGACTTATATAATTTCTTTTTATAGATTCTATTGTGTTGAATTTCTCTCTGCAATTTGTATAGTTTCATTTTGAATAGCATTAATTAGAACAATACACCATAGACTATAGAATACAGGAAAAATTGAGTTCAAGATATTCAAATCTTAAATATTTCATTTGTTTACTGTTGTCAAACCATGCGGAAATTCAAGAAACATTTTCAAACAATGTTTTAATTTGAACTAAATCAAATATGAATGTCTTTGTCATTTTGTTCTTTTGATGATTATCAAAATAAACGAATATAAAAAAAATAAGAATAACAGGAATACTATGGTATAGTTACATGCATCAAAGAAAATGTGTCTTCTTGACACTATAAATTAAAATAATATGGAAAACAAAGCAAAATAAGAATTCAATATATATACAGTGGGTCCAAAAATTATTGGCCCACATATATCTTCGGCTTTTTTCTGACAATGCTAAACTTTCAAATAGATGTAAGTAGTGATTATAATAGTCCGCGAGATTCTCTATGAGATTCATTGTTAAAGCAGTTTTTCGATACTGCTATCTTAAAGAGCGCAAAATTCTGAGCAAAATGAGGGATCGGCGCATTTTCTAGAATCTTCCGTTGAAAAGTAATCGGCATCACGAAAACCGAAAAAATCACTGTTTTTCGGTTTTTTGACGAATTTTGCTGAATATTCGGTTTTCGTAATGCCCATAACTTTTCAACGGAAGATTCTAGAAAATGCGCCGATCCCTCATTTTGCTCAGAATTTTGCGCTCTTTAAGATGGCAGTGTCGAAAAACTGCTTTAACAAAGTATTCGAGCACTTGAAAAACGTAGGTTTTGGCTTTTTCCAAGTTTTTTTTACCCTTTTTCATAGATGAAGTTTTGATATACAATGAATCTCATAGAGAAGCTCGTGGGCTATTATAATCACTACTTACATCTATTTGAAAGTTTAGCATTGTCAGAAAAAAGCCGAAGATATATGTGGGCCAATAATTTTTGGACCCACTGTATATAAGTTCATTCAATCCATTATGGTTCAATAAATGTTGGAATATTTAAATTTCAATTGTACATGAACCAATATAGTTTGATGGTTGTACTACTTTCAAAGTCAATATTCATGAGAAAAATTGAAATTGAGATAAATCCATGGGAAAATAACTCAAGGTTTGATCTTTCTTTTTTATTACGCGTCTCAGAATTCTCAAAAGAGTTCACTTGTAGCCAATAGCTTTATTTTCGTTTGAAAGAACATGTGAAGCTGCCGAGCCCATCAGAGCTCGTTGTTTGAATTCAGCTTTTGTATGATTATATAAGAAAAGTGCTTCTATTATTAGAGTTATTTTTTAAGAGTTTTTCAGACTATTGAACACTTATCATTCTTTTCTTTCACATAACAAGTAAGAATTAAGAAAAGAAGAGCTCTCCTAAGCGCTCCAGTCTGACATGCACTTGTAAATAGAAAAAATTAAATCTATAGAATCAAAACTCATCGAGAATTTCGGACTGCCGCGAAATACGTCATTTTTTATCCTTGTTTCTTGAATATCTTCCTCAAACGTCACGATATGAAGCTGCAAATTTTTGCACAGCTTCTTTATTAGTCTCAATATAAACCTGAAAATTTCACGGAATTTTAATGTACTTGATCCCAGATAAATTTTTGAATGAGTTCTTAACTCGTTGAGGATCGAGCTGAAAAAATTTACTGTTGTATAATAAGAAAATTTTTTTATTTCTTATTCGATCAGAATATTCACTGATTAAAACTTTAGCATAAGTTCAAGTGCGAGATTTATGACTGTTAATAATTTTCAAGATAAAACTAATTCTGCTATTATAACAGGGTTTTTTTATACAAGAAGAAAAGATTATCGTTACCAGATTCAGTAAATCCAAATAATATAATGAAAGAAGTCTCTTGACAGTTATTATATCTATGCAAATAGCAGGAAATTTTGAGTTAATGACTTCGTACTTGGACATACTCTCTATTGTTAATGATAGCCGAAAGATAAGTATGATTTCTTTGATTATTTCTTCTTATGTTTTATATAACTTTGATAAATATTAATTTCGAAACAAACTAAAATCCAAACGATAAGTAACTTTTAATATTCTAAAAAACTTATTGAAAACGTCAAAATTCATGTGATGCAAGAATATGTATTCTATCAACGTTTCATTATCAATTATATCTATTAGTCAAATTTTTTTTCATTGTAATTTTCCTTGAATATTCTTTTTCTTTCATGAACTTTTTTCAAAATTTTCAATTGATTATTATGATATCCTTTCTATTAATGTTGTCTGACACTTTTATATTGACCTTTGATTTAACATTGAGATATTTTAATCTGGTTTTGAAATAGTCTGTTATATAATCATTGTCGAATTACATAGCACAAGAGAAAAACATGCATTTCAATTTGTTATTTGCAAATAAATCATGTAAAAAATACTCGAGTTGAAAAATTGTTTCTTTGATTACAAATTTTGCTGGTTATATCTAAAAATACATTTCTCGTTAGAATGATTTCAAATATATAAACAGTTTACCTTTGGTAGACTGCAAACTCATCCATTTCATTTTCTTCACATCAAAATATTACAAGTGTCAGTTTCCATAAAAACTTATAATTTCAACACTCGTTCTTTCCTTTCATGCAACTTCAAGATTTATCGAAGCTAAATAACATTTAAAGATCTTTTTAGAGTTAGTTGTAGGAATTTTTTTTGTAGTTGTCATTAACTAACATTGAATAGAAGTAAACTCTCATATCTGAATCATGATGGCATATATACATGATTATTAAATAGTAGCATTATTCGTGAAACTATATATTGCACATAAAGCAGTTTTTCGGAAGAATAGAACAGAAAACATTGTCGACAACTATATGTATACATATAAATGTCTGTATGCCGTTTTGTTGTTATATCACAGTGTTCCTTCATTTAGACACTCATCTTTACCTAAATGAAAAGAGATTGGTATGAGTTTTCATTTCTTTTTTGACTTTTTTCATGTTCATTAATGTCGTAGATTCCTTTTATATCATTAAGGTATCTTTTACATGTTTACTGTGACTTTAAAGAGCACCACTCGTGACTGAAGAGACATCTGATGTTTCGATTCATTTATGTTTCCTTCAGTTAAATATTTTGTGATAGTAAAAAAACTAAAAGACTGTTGCTGCTCAGCACTCTTACTTCAAAAATTGAGTAATGTTATAAATTTTCTCTATTAAGAGTCAGAAAAGTCAAAAATTTTATTGTTCAATCATGAAAAGTCGTAGGAATTTAAAATTTTTAACATAGATAGATCTATTCTTCTAGATATTATCCTCTAAATGCCAGTTTTTTTAGCTGTAACTATCGCTCACGTTAGTGTTGTGTAGTTTGTTTGAAAAAATTTTTGTTGTCATCATTTTTTGAGTTGTAGCATTTCCATTAGAAGTTAGAAATTTGATTTCTTAAACGTCTCTCTTATACTATCTTTTTGGTATCTTTATTTCTTGAGTTTATGAATAGTAAAATTCTTAATTAAATTTTGTTTTTTGTTTCTGCAGGAAACTATTTTATAAAGGAGTTTGTTTTTCTAAAAAGTCATTTTTTTAAATAAAAGAAATTTCCTTGTTAAGTGAGAGGTTCTTACGCGGCGGAGGAAAAGAATGATTTACTCTAATGATAATCTTCACCAGAGTGAACTGCGAAAATGTTACAAATCAAAACCTAGAATTCATTTTGAAGTTATTAATAGACATAGACTGCGCCGAAAACCTTCCGTGCTATTCGTTCCTATAGAAAACTGTATAAGTGAGTGAGGGATACATAAAACTAGGAAACTGGAATTTTTAGAATAATATTTAGACTACTAGGTATACCTTTTCAAAAAAGGAATTTCTGATTTCTACGACCGTTTATGGTTGGATTATGAATTTTTCAGTTTTTGAAGCAGCAAATTAGAAGAATAGCTATACTTTTTGAGAAAAGAACCATGGAAAAGAAACTATCCTGGAGCTTTTTACTAGTTCAATATACTCACTCAAATGATATTTAATGAGTCGAAATGGAAGGCATAACCTTAGGTGGCTTTTTTTTGTTAACTAGTCATTAGTAACAGCTATTTATCGTTATCTTATTATTTTCCCAACATGTTGTTTTAGTAATTTGATATAACATTTTCGATAGTATATGATTTAGTTATTTATAAAGTTTAACAGAAGCATACGAAGAAAAAAACAAAGAGATATAATAAACGTCTTTGTAATTTGAAAGTCATTGAGTAAAATTGTTTTCTAAAGTCATTTAGTAAGCATTTTTATAAAGATCATGAAAAACCTGCTGAAAAAATAGAGACATTTTTCTGCTGTATCTCACAAATTCAATAATCAAATTAATCTTATAGTTAAGACATTATTTATTTCATCCACGAAAGAATTAAACAACATATAAATTTATTCTAGGATAAGATTTTCTCTTCACGATCTAATTATAACTCTTCTTTTTTGAAAAGATTTTTTAATGAATACTGCAAAATTCTATGGTTTTTCTATAATTGTTATAACATATATTTGAAAAAAAAACAAATAATTAGATGAAAAAAAATTAAGGTATGCTGATATTTTTATTGTTAATGTGTATTTAAAATGAATAAGTACAGTTGAACATGATTAGACGTATTTTTTCCACAAATAGAACGTGTAATTATGTAGATTCTCATAGTTTCAGTTATATTTATACGCTTGATACCAAAATAAATAGAATTAGTAATTTTTTGTATTAGTAAAGTTAGATGTTTCTAGACGTCTAACAATGAAAAATTTCGGCAATTTCTTCAGATTCACGTCAGTTAAAAAACTCTATTTTCGATAATGTCAACATCACTTGCTCAAGCTCAACAAGCTATGTCTTTATATGGTTTGTCAACATTTTATATTCTGGGTACAATTGGTAATTTTCTATTGATTTCAATTCTTGTGCAACGTACTCATCGACAAAATTCATGTTCATTGTATTTACTTTCGGCTACATTTGTTAATTTTATTCTTATTCAATGTATTTTACCATTAGCTATCTATTCTGGAGATCATGAGGATCCACAAAATAAGCTGCTCATTTGGTGTAAAATTCGTAGTTATTTATTCAATGCTCTTCTTATGCTTTATCGTTGGTTTAAAATGGCAGCTTGTATTGATCGTGCAGCTATGTGCAGTCGTCGTGCATGGATACGATCATTCAGTAATGTTTCGTTTGCTTATCGAACTATTTCAATTATAACAATTGTTTGGCTTTTAATACCTATTCATTTAGCTGTCTATTTTCGAATTGAAGCTGGTCATTGTGTACCACAATCAGGTGTTTATTCAAAGATTTTTAGTGCATATTCAATTATAATATCCGGTTGGTCACCACCAATAGTAATGGCAATATTTGGCTTGATTGCCTATAAAAATTTAAAAAAAGTAAGAAGAAAATAGATATGAAATTTAATAATTATATTTATTGTGAATTACAGGTAAGAGCACGAGTTACTCCTTCAAACTTTTCTGGTGGTAATAATGGTGATTATTCAAGCAATTCAATTAGAAGAACAATAAATACTCGACTTTTTAGTAAACGAGATCAACAATTACTACTATTGCTTATTTGTGAAGTTTTTCTTTATATTTTTACAAATCTTCTTTATTCAATTAATATAACTTATTCAGCAATTACTTCAAATTATCTAAAAGATATTGAAAGAATTCGCATTGAATCATTTATTTCTTATTTTTCAACACCATTTCTTATTATTATTAATAATTGTGCAACTTTTTATCTATATCTTATTGTTTCAAGTAAATTTCGACAAGACGTTAAAAAATTTTTAACTTCTTGTTGTCATTTGCATCAGGTGGCACCAGCACAGATTAATCCTGCAATAATTATTAATAGAGCGACAACGACCAACCATCAATTGTAAGCATTAATTACTTATATGAATTACAAAACTACTTCTACAATCAATTATTAAACAAAGAACACAAAAGAGCTTTTATAACCGTAACGGTGATTCTTTCCTTATTCTTTGTCTTTATTTTTTTTTTTTATAAAACTATCGTAAAATCTGTAATCCCTGTATATAAAATAAACTTTGCTTGGAAAGATTAATGAAACAATGCAATATGTTTTTAGTTGTATTTGTTGATATCAATTTCATTTTGTAGCTTTGATAATTTCGAAAAATTGAAATGCAGAGTCATTAATGACTTTTTTAAAGAGTTGTTCATCTGGTATGTTAAAACATGCATAAGATTAAAGCTCGATACAAATCCATCGTTCGATTGAGATCGTTTGGTAAATAAGCGAAGATTTATGCAGTCTATCAATGAATTTATTTCAGTTTTTCAGTTAACACTGAAAAATTTCGTTTGTCTTCAAAGTCAACATCTCATCTATTTAACTCAACCAATACAGCTACTTGCTTCCAAAATGTCATGAAAAATACACTAACAGTATTGATTAGGTATCTTGCATTTATTTCCGATACAAAACTAAGAATACTTTTTTATTACCAATCAAAAGCAGAAAAAGAACTTTCATTAATGAGAAAATAATAATTGACAAGCAATTGTTCAATAATTGGAGTCCTTTTTGATTCTTCCAACCTTGGTCGTAAGTAAAAATGTCGAAAACTAGACTTCTGAATATTTTCTTGTTCAGAAAATAAAAAAAAAAACAAGTAACTAAATTCCAATCAAATGTTGATTATATTGGAAAAGAAAAAATCAAAGAAAAGCAAAATAAGTTGAAACATTAGTTTATCAATCTTAAATAATGTTCTTATTGTACAATCATAACTTCTTTTGCTACAATTAAGAACAAACTGTTGAGAAGATCAGCTGCAGTAATGAAATAATTATTATATCGATCTGGGTGTTGATGTGGGTTTAGATGAAGAGTACACCGACACTAACACTCTTAATCCACATCATCACTCATCCAAAGCAGGCCATATCCACCTTCGACCACACTCACCTACACCCACCCCCACCCATATTTTGTAATTTCGACATTTTTTATTTTCGGCATTTCAGCTTCGATATTTTTAGATTTTGACATTTTTATTGTTGATCTTTTTATTTTCAACATTTCAGCTTCGACATTTTTGCGTTCGACCAAAGTTGAGTTTATCTGATTTTTCTTTCTGTTTCAGACAAATACATGTAAACAAAAAGAATTTATGTTAGTTACAATTGAGTAACTAGGACAAATATAAAACTTGAAATACATATATTAGTATCGTATAGCTTATAATGATTGAATTGGGCTCAACATTGCAAATTTGAAACCAAAGCAAAGATGTCTTCTCTAATTAGCATCGAATTGCATATTACACGTTTTTCTATTTGAACAATCCGAAAAAATGAATGCATTATAACCACATATTATTATTTTTATAATTCAAGTTCATTATATGTTCTTGACATAAGATCAACAGCCTAGGTCTTCTCTTTTTATTGCATTAGTAACTCTCTTGCAAATATATACAATAATTATATTAGAAAAAGGAAAATTTTGAATATCGTTAATATTCTATTGAGAAATAAAATATTTGAAAGTTATTTTATTTTTCACTAATAATTGTGCTGAAGAATCAAAAGTTGTTTCTGAAGAAAAAGAATCATCATTGTATATTTGTCGGTAATGATTAAATTTACTTTTCAAGTGTACAGTCAATTATGGTTTAGCTATTATTCGAATTATTATATATATCTAATAATGATTTGCTCTAAAGTAAAATATTGACACATTCAAAGTCATTTTTTAAAATCATTTAAAGATAAAAACATAAATTATATTGCTATTCTCTTTTAAATTTTCATTTATTTCATATATTATTTAAAAAAAGAATTAGTCGATCTCACGTTGATATTTTTAATCATTCACCTTTTAATTCTTATTCAAGATATGTTTGGTTTATAACAGATATTTCAAATAGTTAAATAAAATTATTTAAAAAGAAAAAAGAAATCATATTCTACTAGTATTTTTCTAAACTAAAAGTTACTGCTTTATTTTATTTGTCTTGTCGTGTTGGACAAACAAGAATTTCCCGAATACATATACGTTGTGGTTGTTCATAAGCAAACATAATGCAACGAGCTATATCTTCACTTTCCATTGGTTGACCCATTTTAGTTTTCCATGCTTTATAATCATTAACAATTTGCTTATCTGTTGAATGACTCAATAATTCCGTTTCAACAACACCTGGTGCAATGTTAACTAAACGTACATCATATTGTGCGACTTCTTCACGAATTTGTTCTGTAAATGCATGTACAGCAAATTTAGTTCCACAATAAATCGCATGATCAGGTAATGTTTTTCGTCCAGCAATAGAACTAATATTAATAATTGTACCTCCACGACGTTCAACTAAACATAAAAGAATAATAAAAAACGAAGAAAAAAAGAAGACCATTTCATTTACTCATAGAAGGCAAAACAACATGAGTACCATTAAGAACACCCATCAAGTTAACATCAAACATTCGCTGCCATTCTTCTGGATCTTGTGTTTGTACTTTACCCAAAAGCATAACACCTGCATTGTTGACTAAACAATCAACAGGTCCATATTTTGCAACAGCTTTTTCGATGGTTTCTTTAAGTTTCGCTCTATCTGTAACATCAACCTGTGCACAAATGACATTGTCTGGAAGGTTTAAAGCTTGTAATCGATCAAGACGACGAGCAATAAGTAAAAGAGGATGACCAGCTGCAGAAAATGATCGAGCACAAGCTTCACCAATACCTGATGATGCTCCTGTTATTACTACTAATGGTTTACTTTTTGTTGTCGGCGAAGAAGAATCCATTGTGACTATGTTTTGTGCGAGAGGGTAGCAAAAAGAAAAGATATATATATATATGTAACAACCAAGACGATGATAATCTACATGAAGCCGATAAGAAAGAAAAAAAGCGAAAAAAAAATGCTTTCTTTCGTTTTACTTTTGCCATGCTTGCACGTCAGAGATGTGCAAGAAGACAATAGTGTTCTAAATAGAAAGAATCTGCCCCTTGTTTCCCAGGTACATTAGAAAATGATAAACACTTTGTATTTCTCGATATGAAGTTTGTCAAATAGCGAGATGTCTATATTAAGTCGTTTTTAATGTCCTTTTGTAGCAAATGAAACTTTTGTGACACGAAAAAAACGAGAATAAATCTTCATAATAGATTCAAAAATGTATCAAAAGAAAAGTTTCTTTTTCGGATCTTCAGTATACTTATTGATAGTTGAATTAAAAATAATATTATCAGGATGAATGGATTGAATTACATCTATCAGCATTACATCATTGTGTCTCTTGAATGATTTTGATATTTGAGTAACTTTAATTAGTCATACTTATAAAAAATTAAATTTCAAATTCTCATTTATTTTATTCACAAGTAAATTGCAGTTTCAAGTATCAGTATGAAAACTCAGTATGAATATGGATGCATATATTATTTCGAAAATTCTATAATTGTCTCCGAAACTGATTGTACATTAAGCTTTTGTTGACTTATTCAATTTTAACTGCAGGAAAACGAACACCAATCAAACATGGATTTTATCTAAATTACACTATCACATAGATGAGTTTTTTATTAAGCAGTTTGAATAATTGTGTAATAAAATTATAAATCGGTATTTAACCTTTAAGAATTCCTTTTCGATTTGTTATGACATCTCTAGTATAGTCTATGCGGAGAACATTTGTGGTTGTAGAAACTATGCTCAATCTTTACATTTTTTCATTATGAAAATAGTTATTCTTTATTTTAATCGCAGTATTATACTCTTTATGTTATTTTAAATAAAAGAAAGAATATTGTCCTTTATGATAGACATCTAACTATGTCTTATAGTAACTAATAAAATCTAAATCTACATAAATTCATGATCATCAATTATTTAAGTTTAGAGTTAGACGAATGTCAACATAGATGTCATAATACCATTACACCGGGTATCGAGAGTTAAACGTCATAATATCCTATGGAGCATTCAAGTGAGGTATATTCATTTCTAGACACTAAATATTATCTCTCTAACAATGATCAGCTCATTACTCTCGAAAGAAGTACATATATTTAAGTCTGAGGAATTTGAGTTGTTTTGGGGTAATGACTTTTTGGGTATCCGCTTCGATACCTATGAAGATAACTAAACTCGATATCCAAAAAGTCATTAACCCAAAACAACTCAAATTCCTCAACTTTTAAAATATAGTTATCCTCTGTCGTATCGACTTCATTACTCTTAGAAGTATGGCTTGGCGTCGAGAATTTAAGTCAGCTCAATGTAATGCTGTGTAATTGTTCAATCGAGAAATGTCGTTACTGGATGTAATGGGATTATGATACCACTCGTTTATTCAACACTTTTAAGCAATTTCACATTAACATATTTAATAATCATCATTGTTTGATAAGATTTCTCTGAATTTCAAATAGATCCATTTGCAAATAAAAATTCTTTATCACCGATTCAAACAATATTACCAATCGAAAAGGCTTGTTCGTTTCTTTTTAATTCAAAAGAAAGCAATGACTTTATTCTTACAAATAGTTACTGTAAATGTTGTTCAATTACGAGAATAAATAATGAATAAGAAAATAAAATCTGTTAAAATGACAAATGAAAAAAAGCATTTTATTTTCTATTATCGACTATTATTATTCTTGTCAGTAATAGAATGTCATTGTTCGATTCAAAACAAAGAAAACCTTTAGTTTTTCCAGTAGGAAAACAACAGATAAAATAAAGCCAAGGTCAAATTAGTTGTCTTAAGATTATTCATTGTAATGAATTTTTTCATAATAATGTGAATTTATTGAATTATTTCTTGTTGGTGACACTTCATGGAGTGCAGATGTACTGTCTGTTGTGCCTATAGAACCAGTGTAAAGTGATGGTTGTTCAATAAATTTAATTGCTGGCGTCATTGGAGTATCTTTAGTTTTTTTATATTTTCGTCTTAAATAAAACCAAATAATAAAAACACCGATTAAAGCAACTGCAAGAATTCCACAAAGAGAACCAACAATAGGAGCAACCAGATTTGGATGTATTCGACAATCATCTCCATGGCAAGCTTCTATAAGCAATTTGTTTTTCTTTTTCAACAGGGAAATGTGTTCTTACCAGGCAAAGTACCAGGTGGTGGATCTGGTGAATCGAATTCTGGCGGCTCTGCCGATATTAATGCTGTTGGTGGTTTATCTGGAGATGGAGAAGATTTACCTGTTATCGGAGAAATATTGAATTAATACTTCATTTATTTTTATTTTCTTACTAAAAACTTTCATGTAACACAGTATTAAGAGACCGACGCATGGCATAAACATGGTTAAAGTATATTTTACTGGAAAATGAATGTCATCAAAAGGAGAGAAAGTTCTCTATTCATTATACATATAATTATTTATCGATCAATAGCATACCTTTATATTATTTCTTTTTTTTTCGAGTGCAATTCATGTATTGACAAAAACTGTAGTCTTATGTTACTTGTAGTATTTTATGTATTACCTCAGGATATCAACATCAATCATTTTGTTTGTGCTGTTACTTATCAATTCTACGTCGAATTTTTGTTTGATCAGCTATATTTCTATGTGTGTAGTACAAACTTCACCTGAAGAATAATCTACATAATGTTAAAATAAATAAATTAGATAAACAATAACAACATTCGATTTAAAAGTATTTTTTTTTTGTGTTTCAAAGTAATTAATCATCTTTAAACAAGAAGTATCAATGAGTGACAGAGAAATCTCTGTGTATTGGATTATGTTTGTTCAAAAGTAATTTTTCTCTTGATTTGACTGAAAGCATGACAATCTTGGAATTGATTGTCGGATTAAATAAAAAGTCAACGAAAATTCTCTGTTCGATACAATGAAAGAAGACATTATTCTCATGTGATGTAATAAGCATATAGACGAGTTGAAAAAGTTCAAATTCGATTCGTTATCGATTCAGTTTACTGCTGTATCGACAAAATAGTAGAATAATGACACAAAAAATGAATCTATATTTAATTGATTGAAATAAAAGAAAAAGCAAAACCTGCGAAAACATGTTTTCAACCTATGAATATGATTCGTTGTTATCGTACGAGAACAATCGCTGAATTTCGTGTATATCGAATCACCTTCATATGGTCACTTTGATGAACAGGTTCATTGGTGAGCCCTGATCGAATGATAATAGACAACGAACTGACTCAAGAATAAATTGTAAAACGAAATTATACAAAAATAAACGAGTGACCAATCGTTGTGTACTACCGTAGACCTTTCTCAATATATTCCAAAGAATACCATGATGAATCGAGTTGCCAAAAATTAAACGTCTTCGTGGTGAATGAAAAACCTACTTTATATGACTATTTCGTTGTATTTCTAATGTTAATAGAATAGTGCAGTTGTAATAGATGAAAATAAAAACTTTAATTGAATTTGTTTTGTCTTATTTTCTTTTGGTATCTATTTGGAATCAATTGAACAATATTTTCAAATGTATTTCATTGGATTTGATTCGAATTTCAGTATCAGTATTTTACCAGAAAAACAACAATTGCTTCCGAATCTATTTTGAGATTAATTTGTCAATTATGATCTCGAAACAAAAAAATTAATTATGCTCTTTGAATATTCTTGTTTTGTGAAGAAATGAACAACAAGAAAACAAAGACTTTATCGATGAAATACAAAACAAAGAAAAAATTTTTGAGCGAGTGAGAAACAATATTTTTTTAGACCAAAATCGAAAAAAATTCTTGCAGTTCTAAGAATAATAGATGCTTTGAAGGTGGATAGATCGATTTACTTCTCATCATATGAATAAATACAAATAGAATCGATTGGTTCACCACTATCAGTAGCTGTCATACCACGAACACCTAAAAAATGAAGAACAAATGAGTGATTAGGATCATATGTGATATCAAATCGATTAAATCTGCCCTGAACATTGATCGATTCAAAAATATTCATCCCATTGATAATCTCACCGAATACAACCTAAAGAATACAGAAATCAAATAAGCCATTGATATAAAATGACATTCTATAATTTACGTAACTATCATTCAACATTGGAGCAGGACCTATAAATGATTCAAATATAAACATATATTCTGATCAAATCATCATACATCATTACCTAATGTAATGATAAATTCATTTAAACTTTTTGTTGCATCTATACTAATCAATCCTTTTCGATTATGAATAATTATGAAATTTCCTTTGGGACCGGTTCTATCTGGTAATCTGCAAATTAGAAAACAAATAAAGCACAATCATTCAGAGAAATTAAAATGAAATCATTTGCTTACCTGACATCATCAGGACTGCAAACAATGATTTGACCACCTAGGAAACAAAAATGAACACAGAATGAATTAATTTATTGATCTTTTCTTATTGTTGATTTGAGATAATGTGTCTACCCATATGTGCGACTGCGATCAAACTGCGACGCCGTTACGCGTAACCGCGATCGCACTGTGACCCGTAATTACGGAAAATTGCGACGCAGCTACGCGTAACTGCGACGCAGTTGTTAAAAAAGTAGCGACATGGGCTACCTTTGATAAACTTGTTGGACAATAAATAGTTCAATTGGCTATTTTCATAGCTAAAGCCATATCGATTGCTGTAGATAGCTCGAAATGCATCTATCAAAATAAACAAATAAATGAAATCAAAATCTTTCTCTTATTGATTGATATTGAATATTGAATAATTGTAGAAATAAGATGAATAAAATAAAACTTTCTTCTTACCACATGTCATGGGAGCAAATTCGTAGAATAACTAGATCAAAGAAAGGATTAAATGACGATTGAAAATATTGTCAGATCAATAAAATCTTTGACATACCTTAATAAGCACTCGTTCGTCACACACCACACGATTGATCGAAATATCGATGAAACAATTCTTGGGTAGATCTGAAATCAAAACAGTTCAAGATATTTTGATTTATTGAACATCTTGAAAGTATTCTATTTGACAAATATTTTTGAATTTTTTGTTTAAGTAATTCTTCTTCGCGCTAAAGTGTTACTCGTTCACGTTATATTTTCTTGTTTTTGAAGCATATTTGCTAAAAGATTGACAGTATTGATCGATGGTAAGTCAACAAAGAATGGTGCTAGTGCACGAGGTGGCAATGTTGGTAACCAACTTTCCTACGAGAAAAAAAAACAAAATCAATCATTAGGAATTGACTATCATTGAAAAAAGATGTTGTTAATAAAAATAGCATCTATATTTTTAATCAATGACACGCTAAAGATCTCTTGAAACACGTGAGGAAAGTTAGCAGCGGATTCGAGTATTCCTTGCTGACATTCGCTCATAGACTTCGGCTGCATCTAAAAATGCTGTGGCTGGATGTAGAATTAAATTCTCAATCAAATAGTGATATTTTCAAGGGGGTCATCGAGCAAAAACTACGGGTTTTGCCAGAAATGCTAGGATTTTAGATTCGGTCAGCTAGTAATGCTTGATAATAATGAGTTCTAGAGTCGTATGTTAGCGTCAGTGGTATATCACGCTGACGCTAAACGAAGATTAAGATGCGCCTTCTGGTCTAACTGACTTAGGTCGTCTGCCCGGATAGCAGAAGGTAGGGGTTCGAGTCGCATGAAGATCATCTTTTTCTTCTCTCTGTTACATAACATCAGTAACACTACTTGTCACTTATGTTCTATACATATTAGAGCTAACATCGTGCTAAGACTTTATTTGAATTTGTTTGGCGCAGAGTTCAATTTGTATCAACTAGTTGTTTTGTTAACGGACGATCTTGGCGTTTTTCAAATGAGAGCGGGTTTAAAAATAACATGAATATTTTGCAACACTGGGTTTTATTAGTAAAAAATCTTTTAGTTCATGACTTTAACTTTGAAATAGTGAAAGCGGTATTGAATGTTTCATTTTGATACGAATTAGAATATTGAGTTTTACAGAGTAATGCCTGCGACAACATCTTCGCATTTGATATTGACTGGACATTCTTATGTGTTCTTCTGTGTTGTTTTTAAAATCTTGTACATGTATTTGTACGATTAGATGCTTGGCAGAAAAACAATTAAATGGATCATTTAGCTGCTCTTGCTATACGACGTCTGTATAAGTATATTTGAAATAGAGCCGTGTACTAATAGAGTACTGTATAATCAGATTTAGTTGATACACGTTGTATTTATTCAAATAAATCGAAAGCATTATTAGATATTATCAAATGTATTTAGTGTTGCAAAAAATATTTTGAAATCAGCGAATATTTCTCGAACTTTTAAGACGTAAATTGCGAAGTATATGTACAGAAGACCATTATGAGGGAAGTAACCTCGAGAATTCGCGTCATCAAAGCAATAGTAATCATTGTTATTCAATTTGATAATGCCGATAAAATGGCCACCTGTATTTGTGATACCAGCAGAAGGAGAGTATCTGAAATGTGAAACAGATGAATGTTTTTTTTCAGAAGAGTTGAGGAAACTTACTCATATTCACCAATGTGTAAAGGATCTGGTAAATTTGTCATCAATGATTGCTTATTCTACACGTTGGCAAAAATAAATGGTGCTGTATAAATGAACCGTGCTATGTCTATTACTCGAGTTGCTTGACGTATGTAGTGTGTTCTAAAGTTGAAAAATGTTTGTAAAAGGAAATATAAGAAAAGATCTTTTACTCTAAACGAGTGAAATTATTTTCTGCATCAATAACCGTAGATCCTTCGTCAATTATATAGTTGACGGGATAATGAAAAGGTTCAATGGTACCAAGATTCATGCCGCATGGTGGTTCATGAATAGCAGCGAATTATGGTATGAAGTTGAGGAATTTTTTCTCGGTTTCTATGTATCTATAATATGAAACAATAAAGTAATTAAATCGAAAATCAAATAAAATGGATATTTTTGACACGCGAGCTTTATTGATAAAAATAATCTAAGAAAGAATCAATCAATGAGATCGTATAGTGTGTAAACATTTGTACATGTTCTTCATTAATCAACATTTCTGTGTATTTTTATCTCCTGCTGTTCTTCATTATGTATACACTTCATTAATTAGTCACATACTTCACACTTATATTAATATCTTCTCCTTTCTATTTAGATTCATTCGTCAACCATGTCTTATTGTTTCTACATTGTTTTTACGTCCATCAACAGAAACTAACTTTGCATTTCCAGTCTATAGATTAGTCTCTTTGCCGGCAATTGTTAACGGTGAACAATTTATGTATTCAAATATACCGGAGGCAATTGGCGTCAACA